TTTGAGTCTGTTTGGATATAATGTTAAAAGAGTTTGTGAGAATTTATTTACTGAAAATAAAAAGTTTTTTCTAGTAAAAAAATTTCAAAAGTTCTTTTAAGCTTGTTTCCAAACACACCCTTAATATGATAGAAAATGGATCAAAACTGCTTTTGATAGACACATATATATAGTAAAGAATGAAACAGTTGGTTGATGTCTAACCTTCCTCTACAATTTTGCCTTGATGAACCACTGCTATGGTGTCAGCATTTCTAATAGTTGTCAAGCGATGTGCAACAATTACAGTTGTCCTTTTTGTCATAACTTGTTCTAATGCTGCCTGAACAACACGTTCAGACTCAGCATCCAATGCACTTGTTGCTTCATCAAGAAGAAGAATTCTTGGGTTCTTCAAAATTGCCCTTGCAATTGCAATTCTTTGCTTTTGCCCACCAGAAAGTTGAGTCCCATTCTGGCCTGCCATTGTTTCAAGGCCCTGCAAACATCATAAAACACATTAATTAACTTCAATCAAACTTAATGATGTTAATGTGAGGTAATGTGAGGAAGGTGTTTGGATTTTGGAACATCTACACACCTGAGGCAGCTTGTCAATGAAATTTTTGGCATTAGAAAGTGTTATTGCTGATGTTATTTCCTCATCCGTTGCACCTTCTTTTCCATAGGCTATGTTCTCTTTGATACTAGCTGCAAACAGGATAGGTTCTTGACTAACCAGCCCAATTTGTTCCCTTATCCATCTAACTTGAAAACTCTTCAAATTCACACCATCTATGAGTACTTCTCCAGCATCAGGATCATAGAATCTTTCTAATAAACTTATTACTGTAGACTTCCCACTTCCACTTTGACCCACCAAAGCAGCAGTTGCACCACTGGGAACACACAATGAGAATCCAGAGAAGATCTGCACATCTGGCCTTGCAGGGTACCTAAAGTAAACATCCTTGAGTTCAATGTATCCCTCTATGTCTTCCAAGATAAGACCACTGGTGTCATAAGAATCAATTTTTGGCTTTCTTTTAATTGTCTCAAACATCTTATATGCTGCTGCTTG